ACCTTCCCCCGCCTTCCGCCACCTTCCCCCGCCTTCCCCCTCCTTCCCCCTGCCTTCCGTCCCCGTTCTGACCCCAAATCCCAGTACATCCCAACACACGGGAAAATAAAAGAACGCTGGACACTGTATTCCTAGATAGGATAGTATGATGTTTTGATGAATACTGCCTTGAACATGTCCTGGATTGATTGGAGTCGTCATCTTGGTGAGCCTGACACATCCCTCACACGGCAACACCCCTTCCAAAAAAGGTAAGGGATGGCCATGGACTGCATCTCTCTGCTGGGCAGTAGTCTCCTTGGGTCAAACTATGGTATGCAGAACTTTGCAGCGCCGGCGGCGACTCTCTCTGCCTTGGACAGGTCCCGGAGCAGCAAGGAGCTGTCGTCACCCGAGTAGAACGTCCAGTTATTCTAGCTGTATCAGGACTGAAAGTTGCCCCAAATACCGCATTAATCACCCCGTGTTCTCTTTAGGTGAAGACAACAGTCCTTGAGTTCGTGCTCGAGTTCGTGCTTGAGTTCGTGCTGGAGTTCGTGCTCAAGTTTGTGCTTGAGTTCGTGCTTGAGTTCGTGCTTGAGTTCGTGCTTGAGGTAGTCCTAGGATTCCTTGAAGGGTTAGTGCATTGAGTGGGATCCTGTCGACTTGGTGAACACATCTCATCCAGAACCTTCTGTCTTGAAACCTCCAGTGTGGCACGACTCTCTGCGACTTACCTTCTTTCCCGAAATGTAACGTACGGTCATTATAGCTGCATCTAGACTGAAAGATGCCTCAAATACAGCTATAATGACCATACGTTGTATTCGGGGGAATAAGGTAGAGTTGTGAGACGAGAAAGGGTGAGAAGAATGGGAGGGTGAGATGGAATGAATACTGGACTCGGAATCCAGTTTCCAGAGATCAAATCTTAGCGGGACTGGTTCCTTTTCGAAAAAAAAGAAAGAAGAGAAGCAGGCGGATGGCGGTTAGCTCAGGTGGTTAGAGCAACGGTTGGAAATGTGCATTGTGGTATGAGGTTGGCGCACGTACACCGGGCAGCGCTTTCATAGCGCAGAAGCCATTCGCACACTTCCCCCCCTTCGGCTGACGCAAGGTAATTAGTACTGTAACAGACACTGCCTGCGCACCGCCCAAGGGGTTTAGTCCATGGTTGCAGTATGCTGGTAGCAGGACCTTGGGGGAGGGCTGTTTGCGTGGTTGGCCTTGGGGTGGTCCGACAAGTGTGCGTGTGTGTGGGGGGGAGGGGGAGAGGGGGTGTTGTGGGTTGTGTGTAGTGCGTGGTTCAATGATATCTGGGTCATGTCTCGTGCGCTCGCCATGGGCGGGGTAGAGGAGGGAGGTTGGGTAGAGGTCTTAGGGGTAGATTAGGTAGGAAATTGTGTAGAGATTGTGGGCCTGTCTGTGCACCGCCTTGTTCGTAAGCACTGCTCTGTGGGTGTGTCTGGGTACTGTGGTAGTTTCCCGGCCTCAAGGTACTCCTCCACGCTTACATTGTACGATCCTGGTTCCGGTCTGGCTCCGCTCTCTACACCCCCCTTGAGTAGTAGTGAGGGTTGGACATATACGATTCCCAAGGGCGGGCCTCATGTCTATCTTACGATGCTTGCGGGCTGGGCTTCATTCGGGCTGGTACCTGTCTGCATTCCCATTAAGGGGGTCGATTGGGGCGTGAATCTAGGGAAGGGTCTCTGGGTAGGGGTCACATCTTAGGCAGGGGAGGGTGGGTCGTTGCATTGATGGTAGAAGGGTGGTAGACACCCATAGTCTGCTAGATGTGATACAGGTAGGGGTCGCATCTTAGGCAGGGGAGGGTGGGTCGTTGCATTGATAGTAGAAGGGTGGTAGACACCCATAGTCTGCTAGATGTGATACAGGTGTGGAATGACCACATATCCGTGACCCCTCCTGTGTCCTGGTCGTCCTCGAGAATTCGGGGTGTCCCTCTGGTAGCACCTCGGGGGGCTCCCTCGGAAGGCGCGGGTTGGTGTAGGTCTCGGTCTACAGACAGGTCTGGGTCGCACCACTGTAGGGCTCGACTTGCGATCTGATTAGGATAACCAAAAAAAGTTCACGAATGATGCCCCCTAAAGGAGACTGTCCTTGGGGCTGTCACAAGCCATCTGATCTCCCCCCTGGTTGAGTACAACGACAGGCACCCCTTGAGGCCTAGCATCAAGAGTCCACTATGATCTAGACTCAAAAAAAAAGAGGAAAAAAAAAAGGAATGCATAAGAAGACGACTCGGTTTCCTTTTCCTCCCCGACACACTTTATACCCATTAAACCGCCAGTACACGGCCCCAGCCTTGCCGAAAAAGAAACTCGTAGCCTACAAAAATTTTGCAGGCTCCGCCTACCGGACCACGATGGCTGGCGGCGACAGCCAAGAAAGAAAAGAAGTGAGCCGCTGGCGGTTTGGAAACGCTTGGTGCGCAGTAAGGGGCCTGCAGACCCCCCTGGACGCTGCTGCCGAAAAAGGAAACATAGTTCCGAACAGTGTACCTCTGTGCTGAACAATAGACTTTTCGGGTCAAGCTGTGTTATACCAAAGTAGCAATGACAACAGTTTGACAAGTAGCTCTGCTACGAGAGGTCTGCGATGAGATGGGACGCGATGCAATGAACAAGATGAGATGAAATGCAGAAGAAGATGGGCTGATTTCGTTTTCTGTCCTAAATCGTTTGAAAGAGCAAGAAGACAGAAGCTATGAATTGGAATTATAGACAGAAAATTAGCATGTGTATGCCGAAAACAGGACTGGAACACACAACTCTCGGCTCGACAGGCAAACACCAAACCATAAGGCTAAGTGGGCTGGGGTTCCCGCGACACGGTGGACCCAACCACACTGCCCGTAGTATAATCTCTATGGCGGTTACTGCGTGAAAGCACGTGTATGTGGAATTCAGCACTCGAACACACAACTCTCGGCTCGACAGGCCACTGCCCAAGACCGGCAGGCACAAGTGAAGGCCTTGAGAAGAGTAAGAGCCTGATTCTGCCAACTCTTGATCTCAGGTAAATCCTGTAACTGGCAAAAGGTATGGTGGGGAGAGGCAGCTTAACGTTAGGGCGAGGTGGCCTGCGTGTGCTGTGGCTTATGCTAAGCAAATGTGGACTGGACTTGATTGTAAAACTGGCCAGCTTTGTACAAGTATGGCATAAGTGGTGACTGACCCTCATTATGTCGAGGTCTATGTTTCCAAGTCCAAAGCCTGCTATCTGAAGTGAATTTCCATCAAATGATGAGAGTTTTGAGGCATCTGCGCACGTGTGTGTGTGTGTGTGTGTGTGTGTGTGTGTGTGTGTGTGTGAGAGAGAGAGAGAGAGAGAGAGAGAGAGAGAGAGAGAGAGAGAGA